AAAAAGTCACCCAGTCCCAATCTTAGTTCTTTGTCTTTGCTTTAACCAACCACAGTCTGTAAGCAATTACTTATAATGAATCAGCACCGGTCAAAATTGTATAAAAAGCACTTATAGATTGTACTTCTTTGGATTTTGGTCTGTTTACAGGCTGAGTGCTTGTAGTCAATTCTCATTTTGTTTCTGATGTCACAATAAAAATCTCTCTGTTGCAGAAGGCTTTGGTGAAAGCAATATGCAGATGACACAGCCTTGCTTGCTCAAAGTGAAGAGGACTTGAAGCACTTACTGATGAAGATCGAAGGCTACAGCTTTCAGTATGGATTACATCTCAACATAAAGAAAATAAAAATATTCATAACTTGACCAATAAGCAACATCATCATAAATGGAGAAAATATGGAAGTTGTCAAAGATTTCATTTTATTTAGATCCACAATCAACATCCATGGAAATAACAGTTAAGAAATCAAACAACTTATTACATTGGGCAAATCTGCTGCAAAAGACCTCTTTAAAGTGTTAAAAAGTAAAGATGTCACCTTGAGGACTAAGATGCACCTGACCCAAGCCGTGGTATTTTCAATAGTCTCACATCCGTTTGAAAGCTGGACAATGAATAAGGAAAACTGAAGAAGAATTGATGCCTTTAAATTATGGTGTTGACGAAGAATATTGACTATACCATGGACCGCCAGAAGAACAAACAAATCTGTCTTGCAAGAGGTACAGCCGGAATGCTCCTTAGAAGCAAGGATGGCGACGTTTCATCTCACGTACTTGGACATGCTTTCAGGAGGGACCAGTCCCTGGAAAAGGACGTCATGCTTGGGAGAGGGTCAGCTCAAAAGAGGAACACCCTCGATGAGATGGATTGACACAGTTATTACCACAATGGACTCAAGCGTAGTAACAGTTGTGAGGACAGTGCAGGACCAGGCAGTGTTCTGTTCTGTTGTACAGAGGGTCGCTGTTAGTGGGAACCAACTCAATGGCACCTAGCAGCAATTGATTATAAAGATATGTTTCAGTTTAATATATTTTAGAGCACTCTAAGAAAGGGTTCTATTTTAATTACTTCCTAGTAATAAGCATAAAATAAAATACTACAACATTGCTATGAATACAGCTAAGTAAATTTTGTGGTCTGACTAAATCCCTGTATACTTAATTTAAGTAATTTTTACGTGTCTTTCACAAATGTAATATGAACCCAATTAGGATGGGGATTGCGCCTCATGCTTCTTTGTAACCAAGCTTCTGCGAACACAGTAAATTTTCAGTAGACATTTAATTGCGTCATAGAGGTAGGGAAGAAGGGAGGGAGGGAGGTGGAGAGGAAGAGAAGGAGAGAGGGCAGAGGGAGGAAGGAAAGAATGAAGGGAGATCCAAGTGTTAGTTTTCAAATTAAAGGTGAAATTTGATAATTTTTGGAAATTTTTAAACTATAAGTGAGGAAGACATCTTGGAACGTCGCTATTTCCTGAGACTTACTTTTTTTTTAATACATTGGTTCTTACGTGAATGCTTAGTTCATTGGTTTATTTTTTCTGTTTAATTCATTGGTTTCTATAATTTTCTAAAAAGTCCCATTGGACGTGTACCTCAGGCTCTCTTCTGTTTCCATTTCTGTCTTAGCACGCATTCAAGTAAACCTACCAAAACATATTTATTTTGAAAAGGTATTATTTTTTATATTTAATTCTGACAGCCGTCCAAGGGTGATAACCCATACTTTGTTATAATAATAGCAAGGAGATTTACTGAAGGTTCAAAAACAGTCTAGACTGGGGAAAACGTCTGATCACACAGAATGAAATACACACTTCCAAAAAGGTGAGGCAGTGAACACATGTTTAAAGAGTGAGAACAAGGAACCTAAAATGCATCCTTTGATTAGAGGCTACAAATTCAGATCAACATAAGGTGGGCTTACTGACAGAGGGAACAAGGAGGGGATTGGTTTAGAGTACGTATGTGGTCCCCTCCGATTGGTCACAGGGTGATAATGGCAGGGATATGAGGTAAAAACGGGCTGGAGAAGGGTGTGAAAGAACTTACTCAAGTGAAACTTTTCCAGTTGCCTCAGAAATTCAGACAACATTGGAGCTAAGGTTTTTTGTTTGTCTTCTTGAGACATTGTTTCTACATCTTTATCATGAAAGAAACACTTCTTGATACCATTTTGCACTAATGTGTTTGGGTCAAGATCCCCTCCTTGGGGTGAATACATTCCACATCCTGGCTTGACCACAGAGAGCAACAGCTCCTTATCCACCTGAGATTATCCATTCTAAGGTTGCTAAAGGCAGCAGGGGCCTGGGTAACTTCAGCTATTTCACTCTGGTCAAGGGGGCTTCAGGGTTTCTCCCTTACGGAGCAAACACTGCTGTAATAGCAGATTAATAGATCTAAGAATGAGACAGTGACAAAGGCAGGCTCACTTATTCAGAATACATTCCTTCAGTTCTTTTATTGATATAATATTCAACCTGACTCTTGTTCAATTAATTTTATTTTTAATTTATATAATGTGTTTTTCATTTCGAAGGACTCTTTGATCAGATTGCTCATTTTTCTTGCCAGACCATTTTTGTTTTACGGATCAAATGTTTTCATCAAATCCTACTGGGAATATGAATTATTTTTTTTTTTTTTTTTGCCTGTTTGCTTTTTTGCTTGAGTTGGTTTATTTTTCTCCTGTTTCTTACATTAATGTTTAAAAAAACCAAACTTGTTGCAGTCAAGTTGATTCCAACTCAGCAACCCTATAGGATAGAGTCGAACTGCCCCCTGGGGTTTCCAAGGAGCAGCTGGCAGATTTGAACTGCCAACCTTTTGATTAGCAGCCAAGCTCTTAACCACTGGCCACCAGGTCTCCGACATTAATGTTTAACAGGGAGTATTTTTCTCTGGATGTTTAGGCTGCCTCCCTTCCCTACCATTTTAAATGCTGAGAGTTTTCTTATTTTTCCAGTACGTCAAGTTTCACCGTTCTGTTGTTTGACTGACTCTCGCTGCCATCCAGTTGGTTCCGACTCACAGCAACCCTGCAGGACAGAGTAGAAATACACCATAGGGTTTCCAAGGCTGTAACTCTTTACTGAAGCAGACTGCCACATCTTTCTCCTGCTGAGTGGCTGGTGGGTTCAAACTGATGGCCTTTTAGTTAGCAGCCAAGCGCTTTAACCACTGCAACATCAGGGCTCCCAGAATAAAGAAGACTAAAGTTTATGCCTATTGAAATGTTCTTTGACAATTTAGAGAGTCAATTGTTTTTGCGGGATTGAGATTAAATAGAAGAATATAGTCATAGAGAACAGAAGTCATTTCATACAGAAAGACTCCATATGGAGGGACTGAACCAACAGGATAAAGCCAGCTTCTCCAGTTACTGCCTGGAAGAGGTGCTTCCCTCATAACTGTTCTTTGGTTCTATGTAGTAGGCTGACCTCCTGCGTTGAGCCCATTTATTCACTCTGTGAGTAATGCCGTGGTATTACCTGCTTTCTAAGGGCTCATCATAGAACTGAAATGCTGAAGAACGTTGCCATTATACCTCACTGCGGCTTTGTAGCACACCGACAAAAAGTTAGTAGAATTTTAATTTTCTGTGTCAACTTAGCTAGACTATGGTGCCCATGTTTTCGGACAAACACTCTTCTAGATGCTTTTATAAAGTAGTTACATGTGATTAAATTCGTTACATGCCTCAAGTAAAACAGATCACCCTCCATAATGTGGGTGGGCATCAACCAATCAATTAAAGGACATAAGAGCAAAAAGGGACTTTCTCTTAAAGTGTATTCTGCTTTCAGACTGTAAATAGACATTTTGCCAAAACCCCTTCATTCTTTACTCTTCCCTGTCACCTGACCTATGGATTTTGGGATGAAAGACTGCAGGAATCTCCAGACTGTTACCTGACCTACAGATTTTTAAATTGCCAGCCTCCACAATCATGTGAGTGAGCCAATTCCTTAAAATAAATCTCTCTCTCTGAAATATATATATATATATGAGGCATTCGTGGTTCAGTGGTAGAATTCTCACCTTTCATGTAGGAGATCCGGGTTTGATTCCTGGCCAGTGCACCTCACGCACAGCCAACACCCGTCTGTCAACAGAGGCTTGCATTTAGCTATGATGCTGAATAGGTTTCGTGGGGCTTCCAGACTAAGCCAGACTAGGAAGAAAAGTCTGGTGATCTACTTCTGAAAATTAGCCAGTGAAAATCTTACAGATCACTATGGTCTGATCCTGTTGTGTATGGGGTCGCCATGAGTTGAGGTCCGAATCAATGTCAGCTATAAGCAGTATCTGTATCTATACTTATAAAACCAAACCAAACTTGCTGCCATTGAGTCGATTCCAGCTCATAGCAACCCTATACCTATATCTGTATGTCTTCAGGATTCTGTTTCACTAGAAAATTGTGATTAAGACAGGGAGGAACCTACTTATTTACTCTCCGGTGAACTATCTTCCATTTCGATACATGTTAAACAGATGTCTCCTGCATTCTGCTCTCTTCAAAGTCTGGTAAATGGGTTGGACGTTTGTCTAGTTTCTAGCAATAATAAGTATTTTCCATATATTATTGATTTAATCATTACTAAGGAAATTGGAAGAGAGGAAAAAATCAAACACTTAATATTTCAGTCCCAAAACTCTCCAGAAGCTGTTAATTGCTACATAAACGTACAGAATGGTGAAGAAGGCAGGGTGGCCTAACAGAAAAGACTATGAATTTTGCAGCAAGAATGGACTTTACTTGGATTACTTGATCCACTTTTTTTTATTAGCTACTTAAACCTGAGAAAGGGACGAAATTTTCTATGCCTCAGTTTCTTCATTTGGAAATAGAAATAATAATACCTACAATATAGGCTCATTGAAAAACTGAGATTAAATGAGAAAGCATGTACAATGCACAGTACCTAGCACATTTAATTATTCAATAAATAATTACTACTTTGTGTGAATATTCCATGACAAATCCTGAGATATTTGATCCCTGTTGTTGTTACAATCATGCACCTCCTAATGGCATCCTTCCCACATTTATCTGTAGGTTTCCTTTATTAAGCAATAAGCTTCTACACAGGTATTCTTTACCACGTATTCCCAACTTCCTTATCAGTTAAAAGGTGGACACTCAATAAATGTTTACTGAATGAATATATGAATAAATGCATGAATGTGTAGTTATAATGAAGTCATGGTGAACGCAAGATACCAAAATTGTTTAACGGTTTGCATAGGCCAAGTCATTTAATGATGTCAAAATCAGTTGTGAGAATAATGAAGGCAGCGTGGGCCATAAATCTGTGCATTTTTATTTCATTAGTTGGAAACAAAGATCTGTCTACTATACGGCGTTGTAGTTGTCTTTGAGTCAGCAGTCCCAGAAATAGGATCTAAAGGTGCAAATGGGAAATTGCCACAGCAGAGTTTTCATTTCCTGCTTTTGAGTATCTGGTTGAACTACTCAAGCTGTTAAACCTGAGTAATAGTCTCTCCCACATGAGTTGACTCATAGATCCTCTTTTGTCCCCAGGCAGTTGTCTTAGAAAAGAAGAAAGAGCTCTCAAATGCTGTGTCTGTCCAAGGACTCAATAGAACAATGGAAAATCGTTCTAATTTAGAAAATGTGGATGAGGATGGATATACTCAGTTAGACTTCACCTCTCGAGACAGTGCCAGGAGACCTATTGTTTCAGAGAAAGGTAATTTTTCTTTCTTCCTTCAATACTTTCAACATCATCATCTAAAACACTTAAGTGAAGAAAATTTGAGACTTGTAATTTGTAGGACTTTTATTAATATGCTTTTCAATGTCAGGTTTTCAGAAGTCACTGAAGATCATTCGAATACGAGTTAAGCATTTGCTCATGGCAACCCAGATAGTAGCACTCAGTGCCGAATTATTAGTATTTAAATTAACTATATATGTTAACAAAATATTCAGAGTTTCTCTTTTCCTTAGGAATAGACACTTGAGCAGTGAGGAGTTGTAATAAATGCGGTGATGACAAAGATGAAGGAATTTCAATAGGAGTGGCTTATTGCTTTGTTGATAGAAAGGCGTAGATTGTAGAATGGAGGTCAAGGAAACTTAAAGAAGTGTATAAGAACAACATCAGAATATGGCAGCTAAGAAAGCCAACAACAACAACAGAAAAATATGGACGATCAGTAAGGAAAAGCACTGAGGGAAAAAGAACCTGTCATACTGAGGTAACATGGAAGTCACATGTCATGGAGTTTATAATCTTGATTTGTTGAAATGGAAGTCACATGTCATAGAGTTTATAATCTTGATTTGTTGTGATTCATGTGGTGTGAAATTGTTTTGGCTGTACTGATTTATTTAACTTTTAATCAAAAGGGAGTTCTTGGTATATCAGTGAAGGAAAATACACGTGTTAGAGGAAGAGATTCCTTTAGTGAGACGTGAGTCTTAAAACATAAGAAGGTGAAATATGAAGAAGGACATAAGAAAAAAACCTCTCTTCATAGAAATAGGGATTTAGCCTCCTCTATTAGTCTCCTATTTGAAAATTCTATGAAATGCTCTTATTACTTATTCTCAGTTAAAGGAAAAGATATGTTCTTGCTGTGCCAATATTTACACAAAACCAGGTTCCATGTAATATCGGGAGAGAGATTATTCACAGGTTTTGGCATAAGAATTTTTCTCTCTTCTGGTTTCTTGTAACTCTTCTTGCACAATTATTTTCTTCTCACTGCTTACACAATTCTTGAGTAATCTGTCGGGGAAGAGTGGAAAAAACTGGGTGAAGCAAGAGGTAGGAAGGGCACGTACGTGTTTACGTGTATGTATGGACAAACACTGAGTTACCTACAATGTGCTAGCAGTACCTGAACTACGTGCTTTTACAGGTGTAAGCCAATGCAATCCCCACAACCATCCATTGCAGTATTGCTAGTCCAGTTTTCAATAACCAGTAATGAAAAATCAGACGGAATAATTTGCTCAAGGTCCTGCAACAAATAAGTCAAAGGGAAGGTTCCATATTTTGGTTTTGCCACCCTTAGTAACCAGTGCTTTTCCTCTACATTAAGCTGCCTGCTTGAAGAATACGTGGGATTTCAGGATTCCTGGCAGTGTCAAGACCTATAGTTGACTTTGTGGAACTGAAATTAAAAATGTATACATATCAAAGCACTGTGCTCAGATTACATGTCCAGGGCCTGACTCTGCTAAAGGTATATGAAAAATGAAACTAGTACTAGATGATTAGGTTATCTAGGAAACAGCCACGAATGAATGGTTCCATTTAGAATTTGCCAGATTTTGATGAACTGTAGATGTAAAGAGCCCCTCAGTCCATCATCCTAGTTCTTCATTCAATTTCTTCTCTCTCTGTCCCCTCAGGAACTTGTTCTGCATCTCCTCACTGGCGTCTCATTGCTGTGACCTTGACGATCTTATTCTTGATAACACTGGTGGTAGCTGTGATTCTGGGCACCATGGGTGAGTACTGGTAGAGGAGATTAACACCAACAACTACTTTTAACGAACATTTATTACATGCCAGGCACTTGTGGAAGGGTTTGACATGCATAATTTCATTTAACCCTTACATTAACCCTACTGAGCGAGTGCTATTAATTCCCATCTTACTTACCAGGGAATTGAGAGACAGGGAGGTTATTTTACTTTTCCAGGGTCATAACCTGTTAGTGGTCGGGCCATGATTAGACATTTAAATAGGCTGTGTAAGAAGCTCAGCCTAAGCCACAATGCTCTACTACCTCCCTTAAATACAGTCGGTGTTCCGTATCCACTGGTATCCACTGGTTCCATATCCGTGGATTCAACCGACCACAGATCGAAAATATTTGAAAAAAACAGACTTCTTTTTCTTGTCATTATTCCTTAAACTATACAGTATAAGAACTATTTACATAGCATTTACACTGCATTAAGTATTATAAGCAATCTAATTTCTCTAGATTGCTTTTAATACTTAATACAATGTAAATTTTTCCACCACAGATGATTTCCACCAAATGTCTGTCAGTTTATCACACTGTGGTGGCTTGTGTATTGCTGTGATACTGGAAGCTTTGCTACCGGTATTTCAAATACCAGCAGTGACACCCTTGGTGGACAGGTTTTAGTGAAGCTTCCAAACTAAGACAGACTAGGAAGAAGGACCTGGCAGTCCACTTCTGAAAAAATTCGTCAGTGAAAACCTTATGAATAGCAGCTGAACATTGTCTCCTATAGTGCTGGAAGATGAGCCCCTCATGTTGGAAGGCACTCAGAATACGACTGGAGAAGAGCTGCCTCCTCAAAGTAGGGTGGACTTTAATGGCGTGGATGGAGTCAAGGTTTCAAGATTTTCATTTGCTGATGTGGCACAACTCAAAATGAGAAGAGACAGCTGCAAACATCCATTAATAATCGGAACATGGAATATGACGTATGAATCTATGAAAACTGGAAGTCATCAAAAATGAAATAGAGTGCATTAACATCAATATCCCAGGCACTGGTGAGCTGAAACGGATTGGTATTGGTCGTTTTAAATCAGACAATCATATGGTCTATTATGCCGGAAATAACAAATTGAAGAGAAATGGGCATTCTGTTTTTTGTCAGAAAGATCTATCCTGAAGTACAACTATGTCAGTGACAGGATAATATCCATACAGCTACAAGGATGACCAATTAATACAACAGCTATTATTCCAATGTATGCATCAACCACTAAGGCCAAAGATGAAGAAGTTGAAGATTTTTACCAACTTCTGCAGTTGAAATTGATCAAACATGCAATCAAGATGCATTGATAATTACTGCTGATTGGAATGCACAAGTTGGAAACAAAGGAGAAGGATCAGTAGTTGGAAAATATGGCCTTGGTGATAGAAATGATGCTGGAGATCACATGATAGAATTTTGCAAGCCAATGATTTCTTCACTGCACTTGCCTTTTTTCAACAACATAAACGGTGGCGACTACATACATGGACCTCACCAGATGGAATACAGAGGAATCAAATCGACTACATCTGTGGAAACAGACGATGGAAAAGCTCAATATCATCAGTCAGAATAAGGTCAGGGGCCAACTGCAGAACAGATCATCAATTGCTCATATGCAAGCTGAAGTTGAAACTGAAGAAAATTAGAACAAGTCCACGAGAGCCAAAGTATGACCTTGAGTATATCCCACCTGAATTTAGAGACCATCTCAAGAATAGATTTGACCCATTGAACACTCATGACTGAAGACCAGATGAGTCGTGGCATGACATCAAGGACATCATACGTGAAGAAAGCAAGAGGTCATTAAAAAGACAAACAAGAAAGAAAAGACCAAAAGGGATGTCAGAAGAGACTCTGAAACTTGCTCTTGAATGTTGAGTAGTTAAAGTGAAAGGAAGAAATGATGAAGTCAAAGAGCTGTATAGAAGATTTCAAAGGGTAGCTCCAGAAGACAAAGCAAAGTATTAAAAGGACATACGCAAACACCTAGAGATAGAAAACCAAAAGGGAAGAACACACTAAGCATTTCTCAAGCTGAAAGAACTGAAGAAAAAATTCCAGCCTCGAGTTGCTGTACTGAAGGATTCTATGGGGAAAATATTAAACGACACAGGAAGCATCAAAAGAAGATGAAAAGAATACACAGGGTCACTGTACCAAACAGAATTGGTCAGTGTTCTACCATTTCAAGAAGGGGCATATGATCAAGAACTGATGGTACTGAAGGCATTGGCGAAAAACAAGGCTCCAGGAACTGACGGAATATCAACTGAGATGTTTCAACAAACAGATGCAGCACTGGAAGTGCTCACTTGTCTATGCCAATAGGTCAAGAAATTTGGAAGACAGCTACCTGGCCAACCAGCTGGAAGAGATCCATATTTATGCCTATTCCCAAGAAAGGTAATCCAACAGAATGTGGAATTATCAAGCAATATCATTAATATCACATGCAAGTAAAATTTTGCTGAAGATCATTCAAAAACGGCTGCAACAGTATATCCACAGGGAACTGTCAGAAATTCAAGCCCGATTCAGAAGAGGACGTGGAACAAGGGATATCACTTCTGATGTCAGACAGATCCTGGCTGAAAGCAGATAATACCAGAAAGATATTTATCTGTGTTTTATTGACTATGCTAAGGCATTTGACTGTGTGGATCATAAGAAATTATGGATAATATTGCGAAGAATGGGAATTCCAGAACACTTAATTGTGCTCATGAGGAACCTCTACATGGATCAAGAGGCAGTCATTCGAACAGAACAAGGGGATACTGCATGGTTTAAAGTCAAGAAAAGTGTGTGTCAGGGTTGTATCCTTTTCACCATTCCTGTCCAATCTGTATGCTCAGCAAATAATTCGAGAAGTTCAATTATATGAAGAACGGGGCATTAGGATTGGAGGAAAACTCATTAGCAAACTGTAATATGCCGATGACACAGTCTTGCTTGCTGAGAATGAAGAGGGCTTGAAACATTTACTGATGAAGATCAAAGACTACAGCCTTCACTATGGATTGCACCTCAACGTAAAGAAAACAAAAATCCTTACAACTAGACCAGTAAGCAACATCATGATAAATGGAGAAAAGATTGACGTTGTCAAGGATTTCATTTTACTTGAATCCACAATCAATGCCCATGGAAGCAGCAGTCAAGAAATCAAACAGTGGATTGCACTGGGCAAATCTGCTGCAAAAGACCTCTTTAAAGTGTTGAAAAGCGAAGATGTCAGATTGAAGACTAAGGTGCCCCTGACTCAAGCCGTGGTGTTTTCAATCACCTCATATGCATGCGAAATCTGGACGATGAATAAGGAAGACCAAAGAAGAACTGACGCCTTTGAATTGTGGTGTTGGTGAAGACTACTCAATATACCAAGAAAGGTAATCCAACAGAATGTGGAATTATCAAGCAATATCATTAATATCACAAACAAGTAAAATTTTGCTGAAGATCATTCAAAAACGGCTGCAACAGTATATCCACAGGGAACTGTCAGAAATTCAAGCCCGATTCAGAAGAGGACGTGGAACAAGGGATATCAAAAGAATGAACAAAACCAGAATGCTCCTTAGAAGCAAGGATGGCGAGACTACGTCTCACATACTTTGGACATGTTATCAGGAGGTATTAGTCCCTGGAGAAGGACATCATGCTTGATAAAGTAGACGACCAGCAAAAAGAAGACCCTCAATGAGACGGACTGACTCAGTGGCTGCAACAATGGGCTCAAGCATACCAACAATTGTGAGGATGGCACAGGACTGGGCAGTGTTTTGTTCTGTTGTGCACGGGGTTACCAGGAGTCAGAACTGACTCGATGGCACCTAACAACAACACGTCTGGGTGTACCTGGAATTGTCTGAGGTGACTAGGAATGTGTGAGTCACTTACTAAGTACTACGTACGTGTTTTATGATAGATGAATAAATTTCTTTAGATTTTATCTCATGTGTTCTGGTCTCAGTAAAGTATTTTTCTGCCTTCAGAGAGTCTTCATCAGATTCGTTAATTAGTCAATTGTTTATTGAGTGTATTCTGCTATAGGCACTCAAGGAGCTAACATTTATAAATAACAGAAGGCAGATGAAAGGATTATTGCTAGTTTAGATCTATCGTTACTCCTATCATGATCCTTTCTTCCATTTGCCTCTTGCTGCCTCCATCATTTTCTTTCTTTTCTACCTGTTTCATTTCTCTCCTTTCTCACAGCACCTCCTTTATGGAAGTTACTTAGCCTCCCTATCTATCGTCTATCCATCCATCCATCCATCTGTCCATCCATCCATCCATCCATACGTACATACATCCTTCCATCCAACTGTCGGTCGGTCTGTCTGTCTGTCTATCTATTAATGTATCTATCAATCTCTCACTCATCTTCACCTCCCCACCAGCAATTTATCTTTTACTTATCATTAATCAGGAGCCCTGGTGGTGCAGTGGTTAAGCACTCAGCTGCTAACTGAAAGGCGGGCCGTTCAAACCCACCAGCCCATTCCGTGGGAGAAAGATGTGGCAGTCTGCTTCCATAAAGTTTTACAACCTTAGAAACCCTACAGGGCGGTTCTACTGTAGGATTTTGCTATGAGTCGGAATGGACTTGATGGCAATGGATTTGGGCTTTTTTTTGTATCATTATTCAATAATGTATTCCTTTATATCCCCACACAACAAACAGATGGGTTTAGGAATTTTACTTTTCGAATATAGTGGAATGACTTTTTTTTTTTTTCACATTATTGTTGTTGGTATATGAAGCTATTGGGAGATCCATCTCAGGGAGCAACCCAGTGGAGAACATCAGCTTTCCATCAAGAGGTAACCAGAACCACAGCCAACCTACACGATCATCTTTAGAATACAGTGTGTCTCCGATGAAGGCTCTCCCAACCAGAGGCAAGGGCCCAGTTAAAGGATTTGTGGAATTCTTGATTTCAGAGGGTTCATTCTTGGTGGGAAGGCCTTGGACAGAGGGGTGAGGAGATTACTCTTACATCCAGTGATTGTACATTCCGAAGTCATACTTATCGGTATTATCGCAGTGCCCTGTCACACAGGCATCATAAATACCCCGTGCACTTGGCTGAACATTCCTAACTAAGTTGGTTTATTTTTCCAAATCGGTAACTGATTGATCACTAGTTATGTGTGCAGGCCTATAGAAGATTTTATAGTTTTACACATATGAAAGAAATGTGTTCTTTCCCCTTAAGGAAATGACATTTTAAAATGGTACAGTTAGAATAGGAAATAGAGCGTCAAAAACGATGTTCTATTTTAAAGGGAAGGAAAGAGGGAAAGAAAAAAGAAGGTAAAATGTTGCCAAGAAATAAGATATTAGAAATATACAAAGCAGATAGGCCTAATAGTTATGTTCCTAGAAACTTGGGTTTGTTTTTATAGTTAATCATATAATTTCATTGATTTGCCTTCCAATTTTAAATGCACATGACATCTACTTCTAATTACATCACAATTAACTGTGACTTAGTATTTTAACTTCAATTTTCTGAACTTAAGCCTGCATCTCCTCACTATTTTTTACCAAGTAGCTAATAAAATATAACAGCGTTACTCTGTAGTGTGAATAATTGCCCTTGCGCTTTTCTCATTTTAGAAGCTGTGTTCTGAAACGGCTCTCATACCTATAAAATAATTTAAATAACATGAGGTTGCTTTGTGTACCTCAGTGAGTGATTTTGGGTGGACTTATACTAGGAAGATACTGAGAAATCCGAGAGTGCTGGGTTGAATTTCAAGGAGCAGAAGGCAGGGAGAGGAGGCTTGGCTGTCTAAAACACTGTTTACAGTTACTCAACTCATATTTACTTTTTTATTTTAAGTGATTGGGGATATTCAATGCGGTCTCTTCAGTAAAATCGTATTTCTGTAGTTCGGAGTAAAAATGAAACATATTAATGGCAATTCAGTGATTATTTATTAAGTGTCCTCATGATTTATATGTAAATGGTGCTTGCACTGACAGAGTGAATTAGTGTGATATGAACCTCATGATACTTATATTTTGTTTACAGGAGCTTTTTCCAGCCCTTGTCCCCCTAACTGGATTATACATGAGAAGAGCTGTTATCTCTTTAGAAAGTCACAGGATTCCTGGGACAGAAGTAAAGGGCAATGTTTTCAGCTGGGCTCTAGTCTCCTGAAGATAGACAGCTCAAAGGAACTGGTGAGTAAAGACTTCAGTCATATTTATGTGTGGTTTATTTTGAGCGGGACAATAGAGAGCGATGATACGGAGGTTATAAACATTTTTAGCATCTCTGTGATTAACATCAAGTGCATAATACGTTCTTTTATTTGTAAATGAATTAATTTTAAAGGCATTCACTTTAAAACAAATACTTTTAAACACATTCCACATTTGTATGACTATAATAATCACACCACTGCTGATTTTTGTGAGTCTAGATTCCAATTTACAAATTGGGTGGAGTAAAACAAAATTCTTCCCCCTGTCATCATAATTATTGAGAAAAATGCCAGCTGTGAAGACATGCATTTAGAAATCATTTATTCTTTGCAAGGTACTGAGGAAAACAAAGATGTTTAAAACACGACCTGGCTATTGCAATGCTCATATAATTTGCAAGAAAAAAAGAAACAACCCAACAGATGTCAAAACTTTTATATGTGGTATTAGCAAAAGATGCTACAGGAGTTAAAGACAGCGAGCCCTGTGGACATAAAAAGCTTTACAGAAAAAGTGAGATTTTACAGTGAATCATCATGAATCATGAATGAAGTGTAGAATTGGATGAGCCGTCCAAAGGGCTAATAGTCAGAAAGCATTCTGTACTATAAATCTAAGTCATTCTAGAACTTCTACATCTATTTTGGCTACCCTCAGATTTTTTGTGTCTGTCCTGTCTTACCCAAGAGTTGTTGTCCACATTAAAGAGAATGAAAGTCAATATATGGCAAAGAAAGTGCATTGGACTGGAAGTCTGTCTGGCTTTTAGACTGGTCTGTCACTGCCACTAAGTTATCCTATATTTGTCAACAATTTAAATACTATTGTTGAACCTCAGGTTGCCTTCAGGGCACAGTCCCAAAGAGTGGGACTAAATTATTTTAAGTTGTCATCCAACTCTGAGAAGTGTTTCTGGACAAAGGTAGTGGGAATTTATATTTTCAAATTGAAGGGAAGGTAGTGGCCTCTGTCATCCATGGAAATTACCTAGGGGGCCTGTCATCCTTGAGCTTTGTCAGATAGGTTGAATGGAGGCAGTGCAATCTTGACATCTTGAATTTATTCTATCCTGGAAAATTAAATAATAATGACTGAAGAAATGAAATATGCCTTCCAGATACTCAACGATATCCAAGAACTGACTCTTCTCTCTAAGTTGATGCCAGTTTATATGTGCTTTCTTCTACCAAAAAGACTCAATCGGTGTCTCTTTCTCAATGTCTAAAATAAGAGTCTCTCTCTCATTCTTTTCTTTCTTTTTGATGTACATATGTCTCTATGTTTTTATTTGTATTTCCCTACAGGAATTTATAATAAAGCAAGTGTCTTCCCAACCTGATAATTCATTTTGGATAGGGCTTTCTCGCCCTCAGACTGAGGAACCATGGCTCTGGGAAGATGGTTCAAAGTTCTCTTCAAACTTGTAAGTATCTGGAGAGACAAAGGTTCATCCCCTTTCTCAGAGAGGTAAAAGTATATGCAGCAGTTACAAACCTGATTTGCTGGTCATCTGTGAGAAAGAGAGAAATACAAAGACTGACACGGGTGAGAGAGAGAAGAAAGAGTGAGGGGAAAAAAGATGAAGAAGAAGGGGACGGAGTCAAAAGGAGCCGAGAGGTGCTTTGGTACGATCAATACAGGTATCTCCTCGTGTTTCTTACCAGGAGGGCATTTGACATCTGTTTGAAGTTGTCCAGTCAAGCAGCCATCACTGTTGCTCTGTGCAACACTGTTGTTAAGAACATGGGCTTTGAAGTCAGGTCGAAGCTCGAATCAATGATTGGCCACTCAACGATTGTGTGACACTGGGTAAATTGCTTAACTTCTCTGATCCTCACTTTCCTCATCTGTAAGTAACCATCAAAAGAGTAACTACCTCTTAAAATTGTGACATAAAGGAGATCAAAGTCAAGTCACTTAGCACATTGCCTTGCACATAGTAAGTGCTTGCTACATGCTTATTATTAATTTAAAAAGCAACCATATTTCACTTTGTAGAAAGTTCTTTCGGTATTATTTCACATTTACATGATTGCAAAATTTTCTTTATACTGTGTTGAAGTCTTCCTCCCTGAAATTGTCAAACGTTTTCTTTTTAATATCTGTATAATATAAAGTTATATCCCCCTTTTAAGTTCCTATTGATGTTCTGTGTGCGTACATACACCTCTTTTTTTTTTTTTTCCTTAAATCTCACCAGGAGCTTTTCAATTTAATTAGTCTTCTCAAAGAAACAATTTTCAACCCTTTTTCTATTATCTCTTCCATTAATTTTAGCTCTCATATTTATTATTTCCTTTCATCCAATGTCTTTGGACCGAATTTGCTATTCTTTCTCTGAGTTCTTGTAATGCATCTTTGCTCATGAATTTCAGCCTTCTTTTGCTCGAGAATATGCATTTAAGTTTATAATTTTAATGTATTTTCATTATAATTCAGTTCAAAATGCTTTCTAATTTCGGTTGGAATTGTTCTTTGGCTCATGGGTTATTTAGATATGTATTTCTTAACTTATAAACATGGGTATACCCAGTAATTCTTTTGTTTTAGTTTTCAGGCCTAATTTCATTGTGGTCAGAGAACATATCAGTATGATTGCAATTCTCTGAGTTTTATCTGCTAATTCTTCCCACAATGAGAGAATTGCATTAAGATCGTCCAAGTGTTTGTGGATTTTTAAATTTCTACTTATAGTGCTGTTAACATTTTATTTGAATGTGTTGAAGTCATGTTCTTAGGCGCATATAAAGAATTATCTCTTGCTGATGTAAGGCCCGTTCCACGTTACATTTTCTTTTCTTTCTTTCCTCTATTTGGTCTGATTTAGTACTTTGTATTATTTCGTCTTTTCTTCTGTTAGTAGGTAATTTACTCTTTTACTATTTTTTAGTAGTTACCATAGCGATCAAGGAGCCCTGGTGGTGCAGTGGTTAAGAGCTCAGCTGCTAACCCAAAGGTCAGCAGTATGAATTCACCAGCCGCTCCTTGGAAACCTTATGGGGGTAGTTCTACTCTGTCCTGTAGGTTTGCTATGAATTGGAATGGACTCAACAGCAGTGGGTTTGGTTTGGGTTTTTCTAGAGATGAAAACATGTATTCTTCACTCACCAAAGTCTAATATATTGGAATTTATATGCTCTTCCTGGACAATATAAAAACCTTAGAACACTGTTTACTCTGTTTATAACCCCATCCCCAGTGTACAGGCTATTATTGTTGTGTATTTTAATTCTAAGACACAAATTTTTTTCATATACTAATAGCTCTAAAATTGGGGTATATCTTACAACTGATGTCCTTTTATAATCACTGCAAGCCTGGACTGAAGTTGAACTCTCTCAAAAAGAATTGGCATTTGTTTCTCTCAATCAACTAGGGGCACAGCAAACCTAAGAATACTTTAAATTGAATATTTTGTTTGGAATTTTTTCTTCTGCATTGGTATTATAAATTAAGAGAGCAAAACTGTGTGAATACCAGCTTGTGATTCAATTCCCAGGGGGATATAACCTTTGCCTCCCACCCTCCACCTTGTGGTAAGATTGAAACATACACGCTTCATTTTCTGTGTGCTAGTTTTATTTTTCATTTACTCTTACACCAAAACAGCCCTTTGTTGTCCAACTTTTGCAAGGTATACTATTACAATTTCCATCCTGTTATTTCACAGTACTAGATTAAATGATGCTGTGTCTTACAATTGATGACATCTTGAATTCCGTAAAAATGTGGGCCTCGGAGACACTATGCAGAAGGTTTCCGCTGACCAATTTTTTCGGAAGTAGATTGCCAGGTCCTTCTTCCCAGTCTGTTTTAGTCTGGAAGCTCTGCTGAAGTCTGTCCACCATGGGCAACCCTGCTGTTACCTGAAATACGGCGCAGGACCTGGCAGTGTTTCATTCTGTTGCACATGGGGTCGCTGTGGCTCGGAACCAACTTGATGGCATTAACAACAGGGAACACTAGATTTATAATGTTCTGGAGTCGGTGTTCATCTAGATTTGCCCATATATTCCTGGTTTCTGTTGTTTCTTATTCTTCTCTGTCTCTCCTACCTTCCAATTTGAATTATTTTCCTTTTGCCTGAAGAACACTCTCTAATATTTCCTTGAGATTGCGTCTACTGGCGTTGAAGCCCTTCAGTGTTTGTCTAAAAATACTTTTATTTCAGTTTTTCTAAAAGATGTTTTCATTGCACTTTTTTTCTGGTTTTTATTGCTGCTGTTGAGAGGTCAGCAGTTTGAACATAATGTATCTTTTTAATCTGACGTGTTTCTTCAGTTTGGGAAAATTTTCAACCATTCCAGTTTCCAGTTGTCATGAAGTGGATTCCAACATATGACGACCCAAATGTGTCAGAGTACAACTGTACTCCATAGGCTTTTTAATGGCTGATTTTTCCAAGTAGATCACCAGGCCTTTCTTCCAAGGCACCTCTGGGGGGACTCGAACATTCAACCTTTCACTTAGCATCTGAATGTGTTAATCAGTTGCACCACCCAAGAATTCTTTCAGCCATAGTTGTTTTAAATATTGCCTCTTCCTGTCTTCCTTCCCTTCTTCTGGGATTCCAGTTACCTGCATGATAGACCTTTTAATAATACTGTATATGTCTCTTAAACTGTTTCATTTTTCATCCATTTTTTTCTCTTCTTGCTTTAATCTAGATATTTATTTCTCACATTATCTCTAGCTAATAAGCCGTTAAAAGCATCCATTAGATTCTTAATTTTGGTTCTTGAATTTTTAAGTTCTATAATTTCTACTCAGTTCTTTTCAAATCTAACATGTCACAATATTGTCTTTTAACTTCTAGAACACACTGAGCATAGTTACTTTAATGTCTACATCTGACAATTCCAGTATTTTATACTCATATTTGTCTGTTTCTATTATATTTTCTCCTATTTTTCATTCATGCTGATTTGTTTTCTTATACGCTTGATTATATTTGATAGTTTGCTGAACACTGTATCTTAAAATGTTTGCAGAATTAATTTAAAGTTACGGGGTAGCTTTTCATTTGCTTCTGGCAGGCACTATTGGGTATGAGCAGTACAAACTGCTGAGTGTGACAACGTTTTGATTTGGTGGGTGGCTGAGCTCAGCTGCTAACCAGAAAGTCAGCAGTTCGAATCCACCAGCCCTCCTTGGAAACCCTATGGGGCAGTTCTACTCTGTCCTATAGGGTTGCTGTGATTCGGAATCGCCTCAACAGCATCTGGATTGGTTTTGATTTTTTAACTATTTTACTTGCAGTAGCCCAAGCACAGTGAATTTATTAACAGTCTTAAAAATATATGTATATTTCTTTCTTTTCTATAACACTAATTAGTCCTGAGTTTTCCTTTGTCGTTTTAAACATATGACTAGAGAACTCTTCCAGAGTCACAAGAGCGGTCCCGAATCATCGTTCTGATATGTCACCACTCTTTGGTTTCCTAGTTGGTGGTGCACTTAGTCTGGCTCTCCATACGAAAGAACTTGGATGTCAAGTGCCATGTGGGGAGAAGACAGCTTACCAGAGTTTTCCCTGAGGCTTGTATCAAAAGGTGTTCATGGCCTTAGCCTACGTCATTTCTCCAATAGATGCTCTCATTCCTCTGACCTCAGAGACAGAAAGAAGAAAGAGATACCGAAGGCAGAGTACCAGACCATTCCCTTTCCCTGAGGCTGTGTGATGTCCTTCGAGATTGAGGGATAATTATCATAAATGTCAATCATTGGATTGTAGTATAATTCTACCTTCAGGGTACGTTACTATACGCAGAGTTGTTTCTCTTTCCTTTAAGTGGCCTTGGTATCTGTGAGTCTTTCTTTAATTCTAGATCCCTTTTAACGTTTAACTCTTGCTGCTTGGTTTACTCGCTAAGTCTACCCAACAATAATTTCACTAGTCTGTTCCTTGATTTTATAAACATCCAGGTAAGAGGCAAAAAATAAGTCAATAAACTTCTATGGAATATGCAATGGCTTTTCTTTTGTGCCAGAAGCTTGATTTACTTTATCCAACTAGTAAGCTTTCTTGAAAAACAATTGAGTTCTTTTCTGCCTAATAATGGAGACTATTCTCTTAGCGGAGTCCTGCTGGCACAGTAGTTAAGAGCTCAGCTGCTAACCAAAGGGTCGGTAGTTTGAATCCACCAGTCGCTCCTTGGAAACCCTATGGGGTCCTCCTACTCTGTCCTATAGGGTTGCTATGAATTGGAATCTACTCAACAGTAACAGGTTTGGTTTTGGGGTTTTGTTTTTTTTTTAATTCTCTTATCACTTTAGAACCAATACAATCTAAATTCAACATGTGTTTTTTAATAAGGTAGACACTTTAGAAACTCTTTGCATTGATATCCTTGCCAATTTATTTCAGCATTATATACAGAGCATCCCTATGTTTGCCCTAATGACCTTTTTATATATTATTTTAACAGGTTTCAAATAAGAAGTACAGTTAACCATGAAAACTTACCTCACAACTGCGTATGGATTCACGTGTCAATCGTTTATGACCAACTCTGCAGTGTCCCCTCATACAGTATCTGTGAGAAGACAATTGTAAAATAATGGGGAGGGAGTAGAGGAGGGCAGCGAAATGGGAAGGTAAATACTGAAAATGGTAAGAGGCACAACCACCCCAACAAGCTTTATTATCTTAGCTGAGAGACACAATGAAGAGGCTGCTATTTCTATATATACCCACCAGTATTATGTTTTAGTTATAGAGCCCCGGAGATGGAGTCAGGGCAGCTGAGCTTGAATTTTTCTTCTATCATTGACTTAGCATTTACCTGGGCTAAACCACAAATCCTTTGTGTTTCAAGGGAATATTAATTTCTGACTCTATCAGAGTCTTTTTTTATCCTCAAAAAAAAAAAACATTATTATATTAGGCACTGTGTGTTTCCATGTTGCTCCTCAACTTCTAGTAGTATTTCGGACACGGGTGGAGTACACAATGTATTTCTAAATGGCTAAATGAAGAAATGGGAATAATCCTCACTGCAATCAGAGCAAATCTACTATTTTCTACATGATCATAACCATGATCATCATCAATAAACTGCAACACCATCCTGTCCCCTCCCCCCCAATTAAATATCCCAGAGAGTATGTCTGCAACATTTCTGATCAATAGGCTTCTGTAGCGCATTGGAAACCCTGGTGGCATAGTGGTTAAAGAGTTCCGCTGCTAAAGAAAAGGTCGCT